TTTTTTGAACACTTCCCTTCCAAAAAGATAGAAGGATAAAAGAAAAGTTAAATGTTTTCAGAAGACAGTGACAGGGCTAWAGAGAGTATGAAGAGCTCAGAACTGTATCTGAGAACAAAGTGGAGGCAACTAGAACTGTCTAGGTTGAAAAACACCTTCAGGATAATGGTAATTATAACAACAGCTAATATTGTTGATGCTCTGCTAAGAGCTTTGCATGTCATGTGCGTTAAATAAGATAAAACCATCATGTGAAGTTAAGGTTGGGAATGAGCTCATTTTACACAAAGGAAATCTGAGTCTTGGGTGGTCACTTACCCAAGGTCACAAAGTTGGGAAGAGATGGAGCTAAGGCTTGAACCCAGGTCTCTTTGGCTTCAATGTCCATATTCTTCATAGTCAAACTTTTTAAAGCTCTGACAATTTTTTCCCTCATATATTTCTGGAGTTTTGACTAAAGGTGGGCACCCAAACTATCTTATGAAGGGCTTTCATAGGGRTATAATTATGACCAGTGAGAAGGACAAGGTGAGATTTATGGATACTTAAAGAGGAAGAAATTCTTCATACAGCTGTGCTACTCAGACAAGAGTTCTCTGTCTGTGGATAGTTCGAGCCTAACTGGGGAGGAGGAGGAGAGTCAGGATTTCATTATTATGTTTCTTTACTACCCAGAGTGTCTGTGATTCCAAGATCCAGGAAAATGCAGTCCCATCAGCAAGTGCCGGGGGCAGAGGATCAAGTTGTAACTGCCACTATGGCCCAGAGCCCCGTGGGGACAGCCAGGGGTTGCTAGTGCAAAACCCACTTACTTCCATTAGTCTTGGGTCTCGTGAGGGTGTCGTAGGGACTAGGCCCACAAGAAGCTCTGGCCCAGTTTCCCCTCCAAGACCACTACTCAGGCTCTCATAGACCTCTGCCAAGAGCAGTTGCAGAACAAACTGAAGGGACTTGGAAGAGTCACAGTTGTGGGCCCATTTCAGCTTGTGTTTGCTAATTTACAGATGCCACTTGCTGTTCTTTGGGACCCCGTCTCCCCGGAGCCTTCTTAGCAGCCCAGGTGCAACAGAGGTAAAGATTATGGATGGAGATGGTAGAGAAATGCATGTCGCTGGGACTTAGGGGAAGGGTGGGGTGCACCAAATGTACCTTGCTTGTTTCAGGACAGGACCAAGAATTGTCAGAATAAACCTTACGAAGAGACAGAAAGGTGGGGTGTGTTGAGGACGTCCGTCAGAGGTTTCAGACCCATCAATAAACAGAGCAAAACAAGATGTGAGCAGAGGTGGGAGACATAGATAGGGRCAGGAACAGGGAATGTTTTGCATTTGGGGCCCAGATGACATGCGTAAAGTCTCAGAATCACCTTTCTGGAAAGCACAGCAGTCTGCCACAGCAATGAGTGCACTCGAACCCAAACTGCTGTTCAGGCTGTGCCGCATTCTGCAGTGTGGGTCTTCCTACAGGCCGCTTTTTCCAGCTGCATGGTAACAGTGACCCTGTGATTAAAGTTTGAGGACTCATCCGCAGGTCAGAGGCAAACTAAGAATTGGCTTGTGGGTTTTAGCCAATCCCCATTGGCCTTCCTGACACTCTAATGTGTCTAGGGATACACACATTTCATTTTTATTTTCACACATGGTTTCAAGAAGACTCTAAGTGTAACCCTGCCCTGCAGCTTCCGTCCCTAACCAGAGTGCCCTCAAGAAGCTCCTCCTACCTGACATTTGGGGCTGTGCATCACACAGATTATTAGGGGCTCAGGTCCCACTGGCTTCTCCTTTCTGGGTCACTATAAAAGAGAGACATGGGGGGGGGGCTGGGCAAAAGATGGAGACGCTGGTATCCAGGGCCTGTTGTCCTTAGCTCAACTTATTCTAAAATCCTCTTCCTTTCTTCTTTCCCTCTTTTTCCCCAATCACTTCCTTAAAAGAAAACAAAGTCTTTGTCCCTTGGATGTCCCCAAGACACCAAGAACGTCCCTAACTCCACAATGAACAGTGTAGTAGGAAGATCTCTATGGCTACTGTCCTGATGGGAAGGTTCTTGAGAGGACAACATCTCATGCAGCCCCGCACCACAAGACTTCCCTTCCAGCTCTGGGAAGTTCCTATGATTACCTGACCATTTGGATTATTTCATCCCATTATTAGATGACCCTTTCCTTTCCTCACGGCCACTTAAATTCGTAAAGGTCACAAGTCAGCTCCTCTCTTGAAGGGCTAGCCACGGGGAGTTCAGCTGTGCCCCACGGGATAGTGGAGTGCTCCACCACCACCCCAGGGCACTTTTCTAGAGGTGCTTTGTTCTGATTCTTTCCATCAGAAAGCATGCTTTCCCCCAACACTGGTGTCACCTGTGGAGTTTGCTGCTGCTCCTGTCCTACATTCTGCCCATACTTCCCTAATGACATGGGACTGTCATTAGCCCTGAGGTTAGAACCAGTGCACAGGCCTGGGTTGATGAATCTCTTTAGTGTCTCCACGGCAGGAATAACTCTGGACCCAAGAACTGTCTCAGAGCTTCTTGTGTCCTGGTTTTTTGAGGAAAGTCCTKGTTCCCTTCTGTCCCTACATCCCATCTGGTCAGTGACATCCTCACTCTCAGTAGGATCCCAATTGGTAAAATAAATGATATGACTGTTCTACACATAACCCATTGGTGTCACGTTTAACCTGAGGAAGAATGGAGAGGAGGCCTGGAATTGTTCCAGAAGAATATACTTAAATTCTAGATAAAGAGGTGGAGGCAGAAGAGACAACTTTCCCAGGGCTGTGAGTTGAGTGCTGGGAGCCGTGATGTTTGGGAGAGACAAGGAAAGGGCAGTAAAGACTTGGGGACTTTCCTGGGTCACTTGGGGTGTTGAGCAGGGACTAGATGGGGTTTTGACTCTCCCCATCTCTGTTACCCTGGACTGAGAGGGTGAAATGCAACTGGACTTTATCCTCTGGAGAAGATTCCTTCATTTGTTCTTCACCTTGACCTGCTGGCAAACTCTGGGTTACCAGAGCAGCAACTCTGCCACACACTCCCACCTGCTAAGGCCTCTCCTTTCAGCATCCACAAGAGAACAACCACCAAACCCTCAGAACCCATTCTCTTCTGTGAGGGGCTACCCTCCCCCACCTCTGCCCTAGTCTAGCACTACAGCTGCTCACCCCACAACACTCCATTTTCTCCAAAGCATTTGCTCGTCCCCTCTTCTGCTTAACTTTGCATCTAATCCCTGGAAGGAATCTCCATAATATGCTTGCAGCTTCCCCATCTCCCCCCCAGGGAGGATGCAGGAGGCATCCTTTTGTGGATGCTGGTACAGGGCTAGAACCTGTTCCCTTTGCTGTTAAGCTGTTTTAGCTCCCATAGAAACAAATCAACACATAAATAGCAAAAGCAACAACCAGTTTAAAAAAGTACTACAATTTGTGACATTAAAAGMTAGTTTTGACTGATGGAAGTTACTAGAATGTAATTAGCTCCTTAGGCCAACCCTGGTGAAGGACCATCCTTTCGTGGCTTATGCAAGTTGCCTCCATGACACCCCTCACCTCCACTTCTTAGAAACTGTCACAGATGTGTAGTGTCCCTGCAGAACCATGCCCGCCCAGAACCTCAGAATGTGACCTTATTTGGAAATCTGTCTCTGCAGAAGTCATTGATTAAGCTCTCTAGATGAAGTCATTTGGGATTTAAGATGAGCTTTAAATACGATGACTCATGTCTTCATAAGAGAAAGGAGAGGGGGATTTAGAAGCAGAGATACAGGAGAGAGCCCTGTAAGACAGAGGGAGAGTGATGCTGACCGAAGCCTAGGAGAGGCCGGAGTCACCAGAAGAGAGAGAAGCAAGAAATGATCCTCCTGGGAGCTGTCAGGGAGCCCAGCCCTGCTGATAACTTAATTTTGGATTTCCAGCTTCCAAATTGCAAAGAGAATAAATATATATTGTTCTAAACCAGCTTGTGACACTCTGTTACGGTACTTTGTCATGTACTTTCTTTCTGCAGCCCTAGGAAACTAAACATTGAGGAATTAAGGCAAACTCCAGTGTGTATCTGTGGGTGCTGCCCTCCCTGGAGTTTGGGGGCAGCTGCTCCAGAATCACCATGACACCAGGAACAAGTACACCACCCTGGTTGCTAATTGGGAAAAGCTTCCAGAAGAGCTGTCTTCAGAAGAACATGCCACAATGTCACCCCTTACCAGTTACTTGATCTGTGAACTATAGTTTCTATACCTGTAAAATGGGGAGATCCACACTTGCTTCCAATACTTACATGGGGCCATTTACTATTCTCTGCCTTCTCTATCTGATCACATGCGTACACTCCATAGTACAGTGTTCCATCTTCATGCAAAGTTCACCCCTGTAAGGTAACTGCCTCCACCCTATAGGTGTCCCTAACACCATGTGCTTGGGGAAGTGAGATCTCCATCCATCAAGTGCAGGAGCAGATAGAAGGGCTACCGTATGCATATGGGCTCAGCCTCCTTGGTCCTTGCTTCTGGGTGATTACTCATCCCAGATTTCACAGAACAGTTTTATCAACTCCATCTTCTCTAGGATTCCAGCCTAGATCTGCAGAGCAACACAAATCTTAAGTCCAAATCCTGAAACAAGATAAACTAGAGGTGTTCAGGACATACAGACAAAACCTAAAGGGGTAAAGAAGGACATTTGATCTGGTCCACTTGATCTCTGTCTTGTGCTGGGCAGGGTTATACTTCACCATGATCTTCCCTCTCTGTCCCTGACTTGCTGGTTTTCCAGAGTCCAGCCACTGCCTTTCAGACTAATCTCACACTGGGAACTAGGAAAGTCTGATACAGTCCACAACTTTTGGGGACCCTCATCATAATGTACAGGAGGAAAGAGTCTTAGTCAGAGGAGGCAAGATAGTCACTCTGCATGCCTTTGGACATGCTGTCTTTTGCAGGTCAGAATGGAGGTCAATGAAGGGCAGAATGCCAAAGAAATCCATGAGACACAACCAGGCCCCAAATACCCACTTTTATTGGTAAAAATTGTTTCAGATTCAGGGCTATAAGCTCAATCTTCCCAGAAGCAGAGAGAAAGATGAATATCCCAGTAGGAAGGTGATGAGAGGTGAACAGAGTAACTCTTTAGGTCCATAGGTTGGATTAGGAACAGGAGAATCAAGGTGAGGCTGGAGAACAGCTCAAGACACGGGCTCAGACCTGGCCTCAGCAATTCTTCTTCTTCACCTGAGGAAGAGAGGACATTGTCAGGGCCCAGGGGCCACAAAGCAGTGGGAGTGGAGCAGAGCGGGCAGAAGCTGGGCCTGACTAGAGGAGGCCCTTGTTTCTCCCATCCCCCAGTGACGTACTCTTAGTGAGTCTGCSTTTCCTCCTTGGCCTGCAGTCCCCTGAGGTCTCATTGGGATGACAGTGGATCAGGGCYGGAGCTGGCTCAGAGATCCCCTTACATCCCATGCATAATAATACTTCACCCCCTCCCTCCGCCCATCTGCTCCCTCACCCCTCTCCCTACCATGGCCATCAGYACCAGGGTGCTGACCAGCACAGCATACACAGTGGCCTTCCCCAGCAGGATCTCATAGAGGATGGTGGCAGACAGCACCCCTTGCTGATAGGTCACTGTTGGGACAAAGACAGAGCAGGTAAGTCCCTGAGAGCACGTGGTCTGGCCTGCCCCACACCCCACTGACCAAGAGTTCTCTGTGCCCTGGGTCCAGAGACAAGACCAGGGAGATGAACAGAAAGGAAGCAGCTCACTCACCCGAGGTGACACCACAGTCTGAAAGAAAAGAGGGGAGAAAGATGGGTGAGAGACCTCATCTCCTTCAGCAGGTTGGAACCAAGTCAGCCTCAAGCCTGGTCCTGGCCCGTCCTCTCTGAGCCCTGGGACCATCTTTCTTCTCCTGGGACAAGGTCACCCATCATTCTGGAGTCCTATAATGAGTGGCAGCACCAAGGGGACAGAGGGGGTACCCAGGTGCTGAGCTCCATGGAGAAAGGGGCCCCTAGCTCTTAGGCTATTGGGCAGAGGATGGGGAGGAGTTAGCCCTAGGTGCCCAGCTCCCCTTCCTGATGGCCTTTAGTCCTCTTCTCCACCCCCAGCCCTGCATCTAGACTTTCTGACTGTACCTCATCTTTGTGCTCCCCTGGTGCGGCCCCATCTCCTCACAGCCTCCCCAGGCCCTGCTCACCTGCTCGGCCCCAGACCTCAGCACTGACAGTCTGGGTGATGGGTTTGGGCCTCTCCTCGGTCCACTGGTCTTTCTCTGAGAGCCCATAGAACTTCACTTGGCAGCGGAAGTGGTTGCGAGGGTTGAGCCAGAAGGTGGCAGAGACCCTCAGGCGACTGCTCAGGAAGTATYTGGAGGCATTGGCGGCACTGGARGGCTGAGGGTCCGTGCTGACCCCATTTTGCACCTCCTTTCCATTCACCCACCAGCTCAGCTCCACGTGGTCTGGGTAGAAGTCTGTGGCCAGGCACACGAGGGTGGCCTTTTTTTTCCTGTCGATCTCTGCTTCTGATGGCTCAAACACAGTGACCTTGGGTGGGGTCACCTTCTTCAGGTCCTCTGGAAAGTGAAGTGGGGTTGGGAACAGGGCTGTTCTGAGATCACTGTGGGTCAGGTGGAGACTCCATGTCTGCATGTTTGACCCTCAAGATAATACAAAGTTCTGTTGTGGAGGGTACTGTTTGCTTTGGGGGTGCAGGGGGTCAGTGTTCCATTCCCCTCTGGTGTTCTCTCTCTTCCTTGCCTTTCCTTTGAATTCACCTGAAGAGCAGGCACTGTTCACTGACTGTCTCCCTTACATGGCTTATGAAAGGGCACTCTCTAACATTTGGGGTTGTGTCCCTTCATTGACAATTATTTATTTCTCCTCCACCAATACAAGTTTACTTGCTACTTCTCATCATTTTATATAGTAGCTATTAAAATGGAATCTTGGATAGAAATCAGAAATAACCGTAGCTGAATCCTAGAACTGATTTTTCCCATCAATGCAAACTCAGGACAGTCTCTTTCATGTCCCTGTGTCATTTTTTTTCCTGCAGTTTCCTCTGCCTCCAAGTGCCACCCAAGTTTCTATTACATTCTTTGCTTTTCCTTGATTCCTTTTTGTTTCTGAGCAGTTCTATTAAACTGAAGCAATATACTTCTTATGAGAACCCATAGTATTCATATTCTGGGCTCTGGAGAAAATTTATTTTGTCCCTTCCTCACAGTTCTATGGATATCACCTCCTTCCAGTGCCACCTCAGTTCTGCCTGCATACTTGCAATACAGGATTACAGGTTTAGAAAGACCCAGTGCCTGATGCCACCATTTCCAAATTCTAAATATCTTTTTAATAGTAGCTCTGGCATTTTTAGTTTAAGCTGGGCCTGCAAAATTTGAAGCTGGTCCTATCTTCATATGGTCAACCTCCCTTCACCCTACCTCCTTCCTTGCTAGTTAGTTATGATTTTAGGTCTAAACTGGCAGAGACTGGGGTAAAATGATAATATCCTCACTTCTATCTTTCACTCTGTTTCAAAGACTCTGAGGTCGCTAGTACTCACACTAAATATTGTAGGTTAAACTGCCTAGAATGGGATCCTGCCAATTTCCAAGGGCAATATGGAGTGTACTTCTCTGACCTCACTCAGTCCCTATAATAAAATTAAAGTGCCTTAAGCCATGTGAGCTATTCCCTAGGATATTTACCAATACTGCTGGCAGAACAAACATAAGCAGACCCCCACTACCCCTCAAAGGATGTCTCTATGACTCTACTGGCCTGTGTGAATATAACAATGTGCCCTAGTGAGCTGCGTTTGTATTCATTCTGCTATGGACTAGCCTCAGGCCATACTGTGAGCTTTCTCTTTGCTCTTCCCAGTTACCCAGTCTACCACATACACAGCCCTCCACCCTGTTTCTATATTACGCAGAAATTGAAGCTCACATTTGCCTTTTTCTTTTTACCTTTTTTACCTTTCTTTTTCTTTTTACCTTTTTCTTTTCTTTTCATCTGACCCTAGTCTAAATAATTTCTAAATGACTAAAATGCCAGGGATTTGGACCCAGCTTCATCTGGCTCAAAGTTTATCTTTCTCTACCCCAGCTGGTCACAGGAATCTAGAATTTCCTCAGGGCACACTTTAGTGAAGCTGAACCAGCCCCATTGGATCCAGCTTAATGACAGTTGGTGCCTGGAGTTGTGGTTATCATACAATCTGGGTTAGTACACCAAGACTGTGAGTTATTTCTCTGGCTTCAGGGTTCTCAGCAGGTGGTGTTTAAGGTCCCTTTCATTCCCAGAGCCTAAGATCTTCCAGGGAATTTTTCTCACCTCTCAGGCAAAATAACTGCATTTAAACCTGTGTTTGTGATAAGTGAACAGAAAGTGTGAGCTAGAGTGAGTGACAGAGATTTCAGGCTAGTAGGGGTGGGATTTTCATCTAGGGACTAAATACATCCCAGAAGCTGAGGTGCCCCCATTCCTACCTGCACCTGTTTAATGACCAGCTATGAGCAGCATGGACACTGGGCCTCCACCCCTGCTTCAGGGGTCCCACACACTTAGGAGGAAAGAGATGGAGGGGTTTTAATATAATTTTAAATCTATACTGCCCAGCCTCGGCTTGTTTTCTTGTTTTGATTCTTCTTTACCGACTCATGCTCATCTGGCTGCGGTGTTGGCTTCCCTGTTCCACTCTTGTCTGGCAGCCTTTTTCTTCTCTTTTCAACTGACCCTAGTCTAAATAATTTCTGCCCCAACACCTGYCCGGAGCCCCGCTTTGGCGGGCACTACCCTCTAGGTTCATTCCTGCTGTTTCTGCACATTCAATTCTTTTTGCTTCTTAGCAGACATATCTCCCTCTACCTAGTCCCCAACCAGGCTTGCCCTTCTCTTTTTCTCTAGCGGTTCTCGGGAGGGGAGTCCTACTCTCTGTCGCCCAGCCTGTCCCTAAATATTTCAGAAAAAGAGAGAAATTGGCCATGTCCTGTGTCCAGGTTCCTAGACCCTGAGCACCTCCCTACCCAACCTGTTCTTCACCAAGCTGCGGAGAAGCCGGGAGGTGAATTTGCAAAGCTGACCCCGGATGGATCGCTAACTCTCTGCGGGCCCACAGCTCCCCTCCACCCCGTACCCATCAGGGGGACCAAGGGGCTCAGATAGGAAGGTGGGGGTCACGCGCGAACCTCACCTATGACCGTGAGCCTGGTGCCGGGACCGAAGTACTGTTCGTAGGAACACGGAGGCACAGCCCCGCGCGCAAACCCCCAGCAGCGCCCTGAGCCACTTCCCACCCCAGGGTCCCAGCCCCGGGGTCCCAGCTCCGGGACCGGTTGGCTGGAGCGCGGTTCCGGGAAAAAGGTGCAGAGGAGCGGGAGCAGCCCCCGGACCTCGCCCTCATCCATCCGGATCGGCTCCGGAGCTGCAGGTCCCCCGACACTCACCCAGTACGGTCAGCCGGCTGCCAGCCCCGAAAGTCAGGGTACCGGCTCCAGAGCACAGCCCGGGGGCTCCCCACAAAAACTGGACCCGAGCGACCAGCTCCCGCCACCGTCCCCGCCCGCCGCCGCTCACCTAGCACCAGCAGCCGCGTGCCTGGCCCGAAGTACTGGGTCCCTTGGTTCACGGCCCCCGAGCCCGGCACAAAAACCCGTGCCACAGTCCCACCCTGTCCCAGGCGGCGGCCCCGGCTCACCTAGCACCGACAGCCGGGTTCCGGCACCGAAGTACTGAGTGTTTTGGCTCACAGCCTCCCAGAGTGGCACAAAAACTGGCGGCACTCCGGCGTCCCCCGAGGGCCCCCCACTCCCGCACCCCGGTTCCCCGTGTGCCCCCGCTTACCTAGCACCGTCAGCCGAGTTCCTGGGCCAAAATACTGAGTATCTGAGCTCACAGCCTCCAGGCCCAGGACAAAAACCCGCCCGGCCTCTCGCTCCTGCTGTCCCAGCCCCAGCCCAGGTCCCTGCCCACCCTGAGAGCTCCAGCGCTCCCCCAGAACCCGGACCAGGGGTCTTTGGGCTCAGGCGCCGAGGAGCGGCTCTCAGCGCAGCCTCACAGGGAGCCCMCCAGCTACCCACCTCTCTCCATCCCACCCCACCATATCGTCCAGCTTCCTCCTTACCCAGTACRGTGAGCTTGGAGCTTGCCCCAAAGAACCACTGTGAGCGAACTGTGTTCCCACAGCCCTGGGATCCCGTCACAAACCCCCGCTTTCCCCGCTGAAGGGCACTGGATGGTCCGGAGACCACTCCCCTAAGTTGGCCAGGGTTCAGGGGCATCCAGGCTGATCAGCCACTTCTCCTGGAAGCTGCCTGCCTTACCTAGCACGGTGAGCCGGGTCCCTGATCCGAAGAACTGCTCGGCATAGGAGCACAGTGGCAAGGAGCTGTCAAGAATTCCTGCTCCTTGCCTTCCTCACTAAGGCCAGGAGAAGGGGAAAGKCTCGCCCTCCCTCTCCTGGGTTTTCCACTTCCCACCTCTAGACTTAATTGGACAAAGTAAAGGATATTGCAGAGGTCACCCCCGGTTTTGTAGATGAGAATTCACTTGGTWTGGGGATGATACAGTGAAGGTGAAATCGGATGGGGTGTTGGTAGTRTTGGGTAGCCTGGAGGGTTTCAGACTAAACTCTGCCTCTTACTGATTATATAACCTGTAACCTCTCTGACCTCAGTTTCTTCATCTGAAAKATGGGATARTATCTTTTCTACAAGGTTTTTACGAGTTTTAATTATATTTGATGCAGTCACAAGTACTTTGCTAAGGGCAAGTTTTATGAAAAATGCTGAATAGCAACTCTACTTAGTTGCCTTGCGCTTCTCATTTAAGGAAAGCTGTGAGCAGGGAGATACACAGGTATCACTCAGTCTTGGACCCTGCTAGACAACAGTAGGGACCAGCAGCACAGACCTCTGCCCATCTGRTAGCTGCTTTCCCCTGGCTAGAGGGTATATTTTCTGGGTCAGGGCTTTTTGTAAAAGCATCTCCTCTACTTGAATCATTGTGCTCCCCCCACTCCCCACAATGTTATATTATGATACAAAAATGTTTCTTCCCCATTGGTGCTCCTCCCCCAGCCACTGGGCAGAGGCAGAAGGTGCAGGTGGCAGAGGTTAGTCTGAGTGGGGCTAGGCAAACACAAACCCAAGGTAAATCTATTTGGGGGAGGGGCTTGTGGCTGGTTATTGTGCTAGTGGTGGTGTGGGAATGAGGGCAAAGAGCCCCTCCCTGGAACATGCGCCATTCTGAGGAGACCATCTATGTCATTGGGTCTCCCTTCTGGGATTCACTGTGCCCACCTGCTCAAACTGGCATTTATAGTGAAGTAGATGAGAGTGGGGGAGGGGAGGACAACTTTAACAGAGCAATCCATGATGCAGGTGATGGCAACTTGAGGCACAAGGACAAACAACTCAGAAAGCGCAATAATTCCTATTGCTTCCTGGACAAAGTCCACACTCCTTATTTATTTTTTCCACAGGTATTTAGTGAGCATCTATTCTGCATCAGCCCGCATGCTATTTGCAACAGTCAGAGTAATTTTGATTACTCCTACCTCTGAGCCTTCCACCTAAATTGATAGACCTAATATGTTTGGGCTTTTGTTCATACCTCTAACTTGRTATTACCACTCTCTAGTGGACGGCGGAGCCCGATTCTTCCTTTGAAGAGTTTACCACCACTTCAGACTCTTCCCTGATTATCCCAGCCCAAGTTAATTGCCAGTCTCTGCATGTTAGTGGWCAGCTCAATCGCTGTTTCAATGCATGTTCTTGTATTCCAGGTCTTTGTAGTCGTGACTTAGCTCCTTTATGAACTGGGGGACTATAATTGGGATCCCTTTATTTTCTTGGAGGTCAAAAGCAAATCACTGCAATGACACGTGTTCAATGAGTAGGTGTGTAAATATATTCATATGTATACATATGTGTACATATATGCACAGACACCTTTTGAAAACATGCATGTGTTGCATTAGAGAGAAACAGCTGTGTGGTGTAGAGAGATGGCTATGTCAGAAAGGACTAGTGATGATACTCCTGAATTGGGTCACTTTGGGTTCACTGTTTATTCACTGACTATTCAGATTCCTATCTGGTGTCTACACTGAACCAAGGCATCAGGCCATATTCCAGGGATACTATCATAAAACAAAAGAACCTCCCAGTCAAATGGGGGTATCAGACAAGAGGTCGTTTCCATTAAGTGTGTTGAGTCAGGAAGGGGAGGCATCCTCTGCATCAGGCACTGGGATGGTGTAGTTCATCCAGTCTCAGGGGAGAAAAGGGGAAATACAGGACGATGAAGGGCCTGAGAGGCTTTTGGGAAGGAAAGAGATCGAAGCCAGATCCTGAAGGCCAAGTAGAAGTCATGAGAGAGAAAGAGTGCTGTCATTCCAGCCAGGATGGATAGGAGTATCCTGTACCCAGTGACCTGAGCAAGAGGCTTAGGGGTCCAGACATAGGAAGATGGGTGGGTAAGCACGGAATAATGAGATAGAGTTTATACTCTCATCTGTATGCCACCTAAAAGACTGGGACTACATCACCACAGTGACCAGGAGACAACGGAGAGCTTCCCAGAGGTCTCTAGACCTAGACATAGGGCTGATTTTTTGGTTTTAGAGAACTTTATTTTCTATCCTTATAGGCAATCATTTTCACACCAATATAATCAACTAAAGGGAAATTCATCAACAGATTGTAACTTAAACTGTAAGACACATCTTCCACTGAAAATAAGTTTCCAAGTCAGTGCATTCTCTTATTTTCAGCTGGGAAACCTACGTGGTGAACTAATGGAGAACCAGTGTAATCTAGGAAGTGACTGGAAGGATATTGGGTGACATATAGGGAACCAAGCCTTGTCAACAAGGATTATATGACCAGTTGACAGATGGACACATTTGTATGGGTCTGCTGTTCCTTGGAGCACATTTGTCCAGGGAAGGAGAGAAAATTGCTGTACTCAGCCTCTCCATAGACTATTCTGGGTATAAYGTCTTCAACTCCCATTACCACCTTTTCACATTTAATTAATCTTTTCCTGTCAATCACAGGTGGGTCCCTGACTTTTGTGACTGGAGGGTTCTGCATTTTCTTGAAAGCCTGCTGTTTCTATCCTGACTAAATGGGAAGAGCCATGGGGAATTCTGAGACAGAAAAGAAGCAGAAATATCACGTTAGGCCGAAACAGGACATTTTATTTGTTTGATCATCTAAGCATTCTAGGATTCCTTTGGGTTAGGGAAATTTAAGCMAAAATGATCAAGTGAGCATGCCTATAGGGGATAGATATTGGGGTCAGGAGAGGGATGACATCCCTTCAGAAGCATTGGCAAAAGGAGAATCCATGCAGCGCCATATTGGGTTGAAAGTTCCTGGCTGCACCTCCARAGATAGCTTCAGGAATCCTTTCTCTTGACCTGCAGCAGGGGAGGTGGGGATTAAGAAGAAGTGGAAGGACCATTGACCAAACAAACAGTAAGTCTCCTCACAAACCCACTGGTTGTTTGGGRAACCACAGAATTTTCTTCCTATTAGGACTCTGGAGTCTCAGGTTGTCTTTCGATGTATATGAGTAAAGCTCCTTCCTTCCCTACCACCCGTAAATGATCCTGAGGGTCTCTATATCTGTGCTTCTGAGTTTGGGTTATGAGATTTCCTATAACATGCCTGCCCCATCCCACCCTCCTCCTTACCATGGCCATCAGCACCAGRGTGCTGACCAGCACAGCATACACAGTGGCCTTCCCCAGCAGGATCTCATAGAGGATGGTGGCAGACAGCACCCCTTGCTGATAGGTCACTGTTGGGACAAAGACAGAGCAGGTAAGTCCCTGAGAGCACGTGGTCTGGCCTGCCCCACACCCCACTGWCCAAGAGTTCTCTGTGCCCTGGGTCCAGAGACAAGACCAGGGAGATGAACAGAAAGGAAGCAGCTCACTCACCCGAGGTGACACCACAGTCTGAAAGAAAAGAGGGGAGAAAGATGGGTGAGAGGCCTCATCTCCTTAAGCAGGTTGGAACCAAGTCAGCCTCAAGCCTGGTCCTGGCCCGTCCTCTCTGAGCCCTGGGACCATCTTTCTTCTCCTGGGACAAGGTCACCCATCATTCTGGAGTCCTATAATGAGTGGCAGCACCAAGGGGACAGAGGGGGTACCCAGGTGCTGAGCTCCATGGAGAAAGGGGCCCCTAGCTCTTAGGCTATTGGGCAGAGG